CATCCCCGAGACATCTTTCCTCGAGGTCACTCTCTCCATTGCTCCAAACCTCCTTCTTGCACAGGATCCTTAACAAACTTCCATGCCACCTACCATCACTCCCGACGTGCCAGCTTTAAAAGGACTATCCTTCGCTACTATGGATGAAGCAATGATGGCCTTTCGATCACAGGCAAAAAAAAGATTACGTCAGCCACAGAAACTCCGACAAAAACAAAACCGGAGCCTACTTTAAGTGTTCAAGCGACGATCGTCTTGCATATGCCCGCATATCATTTCACAAAAAACTCGAACATCATCGTGTCAGTCAGGTGCAAGATCAGAATTCATGCCAAGGATCGCTTGAGAAATCTCGAGGATCCCAGCGTGAGCACACATTTTTGGTAAAGCAGCTTTGCGAAGGCATGACGGTGAACAGAAAAGATCCTATTAAGGATGTTCAGCAGTTTTTAAAACGAAAAATCGGTGTCGACATTCTGTACACTGCCGTTTACAAAGCAAAGGAAGCAGTGTGTGCTGAGAAAAAATTATGCGCAAAGATATCAGTAAAATCTGGTGGAAGGCTATGCTCAATGTCTACTTCGTGAGGATCCCTAAACTATTGTGAAACTTAAACACAACAAGTCCCAAACGAAAACGGCAGGAAAAAATATTCCGTAGTCTATTCATCGATCCATGTGCAACGAGATACGCTTTTCAACACATTCGCCGCTTTGTGGCTGTTGATGGATTTTAACTAGAACCCGCTTTGTCCAGATCCTTCTTTTGGCTGTGTCAATGGATGCTCAGGATGAAATGGTGGTTTTGGGATGGGCGGTTGCTACGAATGACTGTGAGGAGACGTGGGTCTGGCTTTTGACTAGCTTGAGGAAAGCGCATCCTGGAATAAAAAAAATCGGAAGTGTAGTGGTAAAAGATCATAAAAAGGCTGATTAACTCAGTGGCCAAAAATCTTTTGAACGATTTTAATGCCTTTTGTTGCTATCACATTGCTCCAAACCTTCCGACTATAGATGGAATTGTCATCAAAAGGTACGTACTATCCGAGTCACGTTGTTGGGAATTGATGAAAAGTCATGATTGACACTGATCCGTATGTTTTTTTGCTTACATTAGACTCTTCTGGAAATGCGTCTACGCCAGCAACAAAGCTGATTTCGACAAGTGCATCGATAAAAATCGTAAAATCAAGCCTCTTGCTGCCGATTACATAACGGAAATTCCGCACAATCAATGGGCAACATACGCTTGTGACGTTCACCGTTTCGGACATGTCACTTTAAACTTAGCAGAGATTGCAAACTCTTTTCTGAAGCAGATGCGGGAAGTACCTTTCCATAGATGCTGGACGCTTTGTATAGCCACCAAATGAAGAAGTTTCATAAACGGCGCAGTCCGCAATTGGTTGGGTTGCACCGTTGATGCCGTTGGCGATGAAGAGATTTGGTGAGGAGTTGAATGTTGCTAAGATATGCACCGTCTTCCCGGCAGAACAAACTTGTGGAACGGTCGTAGGTGGATCAAATCACCAATATGTGATTAACCTTCCATCTCCGGATCGTCCGATCGGTAGTTGCACCTGTGGAAAGTATCAAAACTTCCTTATGCCTTGCCGCCACGCCTGTACGTTTGCAGTGTCAGTGAAGGTGGCCCCAATCACACGAGCCGACAAATTCTACACCGTTGGTACCTATCTGCGCACCATACAACCGTCTATACGCTCCATTTTTAATTGTGAATCTTTCTTTCTTACCACTTTTACCACCAAAGGTTCCTCGGCCCTGGGGATGACCCGATAAGAGACGCAAGGAAAGCGGTTTTCAGCAGAAAGCGATGAATATGAAATTTTGTAAGACATGTGGACAGCTTAGACACAATAGGAGAACTTGTAGGGAGGCTCAAATGTGATCATTGGGGAGGAGGGGAGGGGGTGGGGCGGAATTAGAAAGAAGAAGGCGGGCGAGAATCTGTATTCTTATTGTTAACTTCTCCTCTCAATGTTCGTTTTGACGCAGTATTTTCTGACACACATTCTATAGAAACGGGTAGCGGCCGATTTAGTCCGTAGCTCCCGTTGCTTACACGTGTCAGTTCTTGATATCCCCCTCCCCTTTTTACGTCTCGTCAAAGAAGTGAGCAAGGACAATGTTTTTGGTTGAATCCTGATGTAATAAATTCTTTAATGAAACGTCTACAAGCATCCCATCAAAAACAGCAAAAAAATGTCTCATTAAAAGTAGTCCCTAAAACCATTCAATTCGTACTGCAAAAAAACCCTCTAAATTTCAGAAATGCACATAACTTTCCATGATGACGCCCTCTCAGCTGACCACCAGATTTGCTCGATCCTCACGAATCTGCAATTTTGACACACCAGGTCGGGCGTCAGCATGACATAACAGTCACAAAACACGTGGCAGGACCACACAAGAACCATCGCCGCACCTGCCCACTTATATCGAAGAACCAGAGCGACTCGCTAACTGTAGCACCAGCAGAAAAATTTAGCTCAACACTTTGTATACTAAACTTGAGTTGATTTACTTTTGCTCAACTTGTACTAAGAAAATCTTCACGACAGTCAGCATAACTCAGTAGTGTAAATCTATCCTGGCCTGACGTTGCCGGTAGTTTAGGTCGTGATTATGTGTTTCTAGGCACGAAGTTAAATTCGAAGATAATAAGTTGCCAGTATCGTTGGATTCGTCGCGGACTTAAAAAAAGAAATTAAAGAAATGCTCTATTAATCACTATAAAAAAGATGTACAAATAATTGGAGTATGAAAATGCCTCACGTCTTAGTATTCTCATGTTAAAGTAGTTTTTATAAAAACTGACGTCACCAGTCATTTCTCATCAATAACGAAAATTCTCTCGATCTCATGATGATTATTTCTATTTATTTAGAAATGCGGTAGAATATCAGATAAAACTATTAAGTAATGAATTATGAGATGGAGAGAGACTAATTTAAAATTATACTTTTATCGAACCAGTCAGATCGCTTAAAATCCATATAATTAAGGCGATATATGGGTTTCCATGGGTGGGATATTTTACTAGCTCCTGGTGCATAGAAACGGCTCACTACATCAATATGATACGAAATTTTCTAAAATGACCAAATGCGTATATAAATAGGAACGAACAGTTTGTAATTACAATTGCACCAATTTGCATTGAATTCCGATCTACAAATTCTAATATTAGTAAGACACATGTTTTGTGAGAATTTTGAATCAAAGTCAAAAAGCCGTTGTTTAATTCTGTTTAATATTTAGTAATTTTATTTTATAGTTATGAGTGGTGTATATTATCTGAATAAATGAAAATCGACTGTCGCTGGCCAGAGCTTTGGTCGTCCCAAAACAGTCGGTGCAGATTAAAGCTGTCAGCCATTTTTGTATCGGGGTGAATCGTTACATAACAATTTGTAAGAAATTGTTAATAGAATATAACTATAAGAGTTATATTCTCAGAATATCGTCATAAGGACAAAATGCTGCAGCACTTACGAGTAGTTCCTAATTGGTTGATATAGGCCATTATATCAACCAACGAAGACGCGCCACGACAGACGCACGCAATGAGTGGTGAGCAGATAGTTGATTTACACACTTGTATTCAGACATAGTTAGATGAAGATAAATAGTGATTTATTGCAGACATTAACTCTTATAAATGCAGTTCTACTTTTTACTCTAACCAAGTACTCGCTTCTTCTTACCGTCTTCCTCTGCACGTACGAGTGTACGTGAAGTTCCCAACCGTCAAAAAACGGACAGGATCAGTCGGTGCGGAGCACCCTACTGGTCCAGCAACGTCAAGAGAATTTGTAGGCCTCTTGATGAAGGTTGCTCCCAACACACAAACGTTGTGCATTGCTGCTCTAGGTAATGAGATCTCACTCATTACCTTGAAACTCGAAGTGACGAATTAGTTGTCCCTTCGAGCTCTAGTCGATTGTGGGGCGTCCAACAATTTTGTGCAACGCCAATCGCTAGAAGATGGTCACTTTAAGTTCAGTGAATGTGACACACCTCCTACGAGGATGACGGTACGTCTTGTGACGGGCGCATCCGTAACCGTCATGAAGCGTATAGTGAAGATCCACTATACGCTGGAAGATACCCAATATGACGATGACTTTATCGTATTGGATTTGGATGACAAATTTGATGTCATCCTTGGAATACCGTGGCTCAGAAGGTACGAACCATGGGTAAACTGGCAGCATCGGACAGTAACGATGCCTGCCGCTTGTTCATCAGATGGCCATCTGATGAACGTTTTGGAGCGTCCACAAGCGTGTGGATGTACTACGAGTGAGTGCGATGGCCTCACTTGTGGTACGGTCGTTAGTACGACTGCACAAAACCTTAGTGTACCAAACGGTTACACTTCGGAGCAAAGTTCCGGTGGATGTGAGGAAACACAGGCTGCGCCGAAGGTCCACCACTCGAAAAAGTCGAGTGGACCGGGAAAAAGATGTACCCTAGCGGGGAACATCTAGAAGAGAAACAATCGATCGCTTAGGTTAAGTGAAACGATAATCCTAGATCGACTGGAGAGTCTTTCGTAGAGGATCTTGCTGTGATTGCGCAACTCCAGCTAGAGGAAGTAAAGGGAATAAGTCCCAAGATTACAAATACGGCGGAAATAAGTTCCCCGAAACCCGCGGGAATAAGTCCCCGGGAAGACGAAGGAATAAGTCCTTCGAGGCCTGAGAGAATAAGTCCCCACGAAATGCAGAGACATTGAATGTCATAGTCAATCACGGATCAAGCGTAGGCGCTTATACACTTGATCTGATTGAGCCCCCGAAGTTGACTTCGGAGATCGCTCAGTTGCCAACGCTCGAACATAAAAGGTTCTTGCGTGATCTGCGTAGTGACAAAGTCAAGCAGATCTGCGTACTCGTCGCTGACGACGAGTGTGTAGCCGACATAAGGTCAGCAACAGTGTTCGCTGAGAACGAGAGAGTTCTCATTAGTTCATCTATGGACGAGAGTGTCCTGGATGAAAAGACACGAGTTGAGCGATATGAGTCCCAATCGTGGGAATCGCTCAAGACGAATCCTCTCTACAAAGATTTGGTTGAATTGAAGGATGTATTCCCTGAAACTGTTCCGTGCGAGTTATCGAGGGATAAAGGTATTCGACACGAGGTCGAGCTTAAACCAGGCTTGAAGTACTGTGTCATGAAGCAGTGGCCACTGCCTCGTGAACAAGTACTTGCGATCGACAAGTTCTTTGCTGATCGTTTAGCTGCGGGCCATGTGAGGGAATCGACTTCCCCACACAGCTCTCCGACCTTCTGTGTGCGAAAAGCAACAGGAGGGTGGCGGATAGTGCATGCATTCAACAAGTTGAACTCTGCAAAGGTACCGGCTCAGACGCCGATACCGAGGAAGGACGTCATCATTGATGGTGTGTCAAAGAGTACCATCTTTTCGTCCATGGATTTGATGGATGGCTTCTATCAAATCCTTGTGCGGGAACGGGATATACCCTATACCGCAGTTAGCACGCCTAGCGACATGCTCTCGTAATGGCTAGTAATGCCATAAGGGCTTAGTAATGCCCCTGCCACGTTCAACAGATGTGATACACATCTGCTGAGACCAGTGCGAGAATTTGAGCCGAGTTATTTCGATGACGTATTCATCCATAGTCGAGCTATGGATGGAAAGTCGGATGTTGAGGTTCACAGGTACCACGTCCGACAAGTTCTTACAATCATGCGAAAGCATCAATTGTATGCAAACCTCAAGAAGTGTATATTTGCAGCAAGCGAAATACCACTTCTTGGGTGCATCGTTGGTAAGAACGGTGTACGTCCTGATCCCGAAAAGATCAAGGCGATCACCGACTGGCCTGTGCCGGTCGATGTCAAAGGTCTTCGAAAATTCCTTGGGCTAGCGGCGTATTTGCATAAGTATTCACGCAATTACGCCGAGATGACTGTGCACCTCTCTCGTTTGTTGAAAAAGAACGAGAGGTGGATATGGAACGCTGAATGTCGGCGCTCCTTTGAGGGTATCAAGCAGAGCTTGATACAATCCCCAGTCCTAGCAATAGCCGATCAAGACAGGCCATTTCATGTGATCTGTGATGCCAGCGATTTTGCAATCGGCTGTGCATTAGTGCAGTACGATCTTGAAGGAGTTGAACGCGTCGTCTGCTATCGGTCGCGTCAGCTGCAACCAGCTGAGCGGAACTAATCAGTGCATGACAAGGAACTCTTTGCCATGAAGTATGCACTCGCGAAGTTCAGAGTCTATCTATTAGGAGATAGACCCTTCATTGTTTACACTGACCATGCGTCATTACGCACGGCAGTGAACAGCCCGCACCTTTCACAACGAATGGCGCGGTGGTTGTCATTATTTGCGGAATACAACTTTACGGTCGAGTACAAACCAGGACGACTTAATGTCGTCCTGATGCACTCTCACGTCGGCCCGACTTTGAACCAGTCGCGAAACCCAACAGTGAGACAGTCACTGTTGCGGTTATGACGTCCTCAGTCCCATCTACAACGTTGTATGATGATGTGAGGCGGGCATACGCCCAAGATGGTGAGATAGTGAAGTTGTTGACACATCTCTCCTAACCATCTCGAGAATCGTTGAAACGATTGTCGTCTGCGTATCGATCTGCATCAGATCGATACACTACTCACAACGGTTTACTGTATTATACAGCCGTTTCTGGTGACACACCACGTGTTGTCATTCCAGATGATACTGATCTGCGTTTGCGGATCATGTTCGAGTATCACGATGCTCCTATAGGAGGACATCGTGGCCGGGAGAACACATATCTCACGGTGAGTCGAGACTTTTACTGGCCCCGCCAGTATCAGTTTGCGCGAAAGTATGTTCGCGCATGCGAAGTCTGTCAACGAGTGAAGTCAAGTCCTTCACTGCGTGCACCTTTACAGCCTCTACCAGTTCCGGCAGAGTGCTGGGAATCCATCTCAATGAATTTCGTCTTCGGGTTACCCAACAACGCACGCGGGAATACGGGTATTCTCGTATTTGTTGACAGATTCAGCAAAATGGTACACCTTGTGGCTGTACCAGAGTCAATCACAGCAAGTGGCTGTGCTTGTGTCTTTATTGACACCATCTTCCGACTTCATGGGTTGCCCCGTGAACTCGTATCAGACAGATATCCACGATTCACTGCTGATTTCTGGCGTTCCGTGTTCAAATCACTCGGAACGCGCTTGAAGATGTCGACATCTGATCATCCCGAGTCAGTTGGTCAGACGGAACGAGCCAATTGTGTCCTTGAAGAGATACTTCGAGGATACGTACACTCCTTTAAGAGTTGGAGTGAGTTTTTGCCAATAATAGAGTTTGCCATCAACAACTCGGTGCATGCGTCCACGACACATACACCGTTTTACATGAATGGCTTGCGCCATCCGCGTGTACCCACCTTACTAGAGTGTAACTCTGGTTTAAGGGGGGGAGGGACTCGCGCGAGCAAAAACCGATTTGGTTCACGCTCATCACGCTCTGACGAAGAAGTCATTGCGTTTGATGCCGATATCGATAACATCGATATCGAAGAAGATGATGCCAGTGAGAGTGCGGAAGCCCTCACTGAAGACAATGATCCCAGTGAGAGTGCGGAAGCCCTCACTGAAGAAAAGGTTGATGTTGCTGCAGTGCGCTCACAGCACACTGAAGCTAACGAGTCATCAGATGAGTTCATACTGGCTCGTGAAACGGTAGTCCGTTTTGTGCAAGACTCCATCGCCGAAGCGGTGGATAAGCAGAAGCAAAACGCTGACAAGAATGGAAGGGCAAACACTCTTTTATTTAATAAAGGTGACTTAGTCCTACTGTCTACGGTTAATCTACCAAAGCATGTAGTGACTAACTTGGGTAGCAGTAAACTACTACCCAAGTACATTGGCCCATTTTGTGTATTGCACCGCCTAGGCAATGCATACACGATCGAGTTACCACGTAAGATGCGAACGCATCCCACGTTTTACGTTGGTCGGCTTAAGCCGTACCATCAGTACGCTGCTTCTTCCGATGAAGAACGCCCTTGCGCTCAAGCATCTCGCAGAGAGCCTTGTGCTCCCGATGGTGGGCATCGACAAGGGTCTGAAGAGCAGTTATCTCATCCCGAGACCGGTCAACATCCCCACGAGCACCCGATCGTCACGTAGAGACGTCAAAGCTCCCTCGTTCTCAAGCTGAGCAAAGGCAAACTCAGCTCGATACCTCAAGACAGTGTCCGCCAGTTGGAGACGCCTATTCCGCTCATATTCGAGATCGCCGCGTAACCCTTGCGTTACGCGATCAAAGAAGCTCTCGGGAACACACGCTTCCCACGATCGTGTGGAGAGCGTCTTTCTTCCTCCTCCACCTCCATTAGAGGACTCTCGCGGTGGGCAGCGCTATCTGGTTGAGCAGCTGTTGAACCAGCGCGATGTGAATGGACGTCGGACGAGTTATTTCGTCCGGTGGCGCGGCTATCCCCCGTCCTGGGATACTTGGGAGCCCCGCTCCCAACTGATGATCGACGTACTGGGTCTGGTAGAGCAGTACGACGCGGCACATCATGTGCCGCAGAAGGACCGCCGGAGAAAGTCTTCCCGGCACGGTCGTAAAGGGATTTCAGGTTGTCTATCCCTTCGTACATCTCAGTAGAGATACGTACGCGCCACCACGGGATATTAGGGAGGTAAGCCTCCTTAGGTGCTCGTGCAGAGTTGTTCCCACAACATGGGCACGAGTCTTCCCAGGAGAGACAGGGTAACCCTTTCTCCCTAGACGGACGATGCAGCTTGTAGCGTGCACCTGTCGGGGTTCGCTTTTCAAACTTATCACGAGCTTTAATCAGTTTGTCGTTCCAAGCGTCACGACCTACATCCTCAAGGTTGTGGATGTAAGCGTTACACGCTTGAAGCAGTGAGGGACCATCACGTTTGTGATTACCACTGTACCATCGATGTCTGAATAAAGCATCGATGAAGAACTCATGTTCAGCGCGATAGTTTTTCGCACTGGGGTCAAGGTGATGGATCTTTGACGAATCGAACAATCGTGTTCGATAACGATCACTCGTCGTCGCCGACAAGTGATCCATGAAGGGATTTAGGAGGCATCCATGCCTTCTTCTCGGGAGCGAGACGCAACACACTGCGGTCCCGCTCTTCTTGCGACGTGCCGACAGAAGGACTGGCACCTCGTTGCGAAGTGGTGTCCATAGGAGAACCGACACCACTGTAGCGCCCGAGTCTCGCGACCTCGAGCGCCTTCGCTTCGGCGATGGTTCATCTGACTCATCCGATGGACCAAAGATGCTGCGACGCAAAGCATCGTCCATGCCACGCTTGGCAGGCGGCTTGGATTCGATCGCCGTTGATACGGATCCATCTTCCGTATCAGGAGAGTATGAGACACCGAGCTCATACTCTGTGAAGACATGAGTGTCTTCATGACGAGCGCCTGCATCACCAGGTGACACAGGCTGAGTCGCTTAACCAACCGATGAGACTTTGGTTTTTTTATTTGCTGCGGTTTCTGCTTCGGCGTCCGCACAGAGACCTGCGGACGCGCTCTCGGCGGCCTTGCTCGCGCATCGCATGGGCTTGTTAACCATGCGATGAATTGTTGGAAAGTGGACTCGGACCAACAAGTGCAAACCCTGTCCCAAATGATTTGGGACGAGTATCCATTTGGTCAATCAGTCACTAAATTGACTGATGGTTAAGGGGGGGGTGATGTAACGGGGTGAATTGTTACATAACAATTTGTAAGAAATTGTTGATAGAATATAACTATAAGAGGTGTATTCTCAGAATACTGTCATAAGGACAAATATTCTGCAGCACTTACGAGTAGTTCCTAATTGGTTGATATAGGCCATTATATCAACCAACGAAGACGCGCCACGACAGACGCACGCAATGAGTGATGAGCAGATAGTTGATTTACACATTTGCATTCAGACATAGTTAGATGAGGAAAAATAGTGATTTATTGCAGACATTAACTCTTATAAATACAGTTCTACTTTTTAATTTAACCAAGTACTCGCTTCTTCCTACCGTCTTCCTCTGCACGTACGAGTGTACGTGAAGTTCCGAGGCACCGCCTTATTCTGTCGTCAGAATTTGCAGCTTGTACTGTCATCAGTACAAGCTTCAGGGTGCCCCGTTACAATAACGTAACAGCACACCACTAACAATGTTTCTAGGCGATATGTTCCGCCCCACCATACGCGTTCGCGATCGCGCGAATGCGACATTGTAGGTGGAAACATTGACTGTGCACCTTTGATGGCGTAAAAGCGACATCTTTCCCGGCATGGAAAGCCAACAGCAGAAGGAATAACTGGACTACGGACTTAGCCTGTTTTGCACCGATATCGTTGTTATAAGCTTTGAACGGGCAGGGAATAAGTAATGATAGCAAATTAAGGCTATGTGATCTACTGTTGACTAAGTTGGGCGTATTTATGAGTTACTTTTGATTAAATTCTACGAAATTTTTAGAATGACCCGATCGAATTAAGATGCACCAGCCGTTTAGCATTTGCCATTTTTTACTTATCGCCCACCTTGGGCCACTAGAGATTTTGCCCTATCTGTTATTACAAGACTTACTACCAGCAATTATGGCCAGCTCGATGTTGCGTTCACTATCTCGTTTTTGCGATACTATATCCTTTCGGAAAATTTCATCCTTCGTGCTTAAATTGTATTTCTAATATTGCAATGAAAACTGTCTGCTGTCGACCGTCGACTTGACTTCCGGCACACTAAATTACCGCGCACGTAATTGTATGCGTTTTAGTTGGTCGAATCATTTTCGACAAGTGGTCGATTTCTTTTCGACAATCGGTGTGACGGTCATTGTGACTGCAATGCTGACTCTCGATTCGGATGATAGCATCACCGCCAAGCGCAAAAAATCTTTGCCAACGTTGTCTCTTCACTGTGTCTATTCATTAGTAGTTGGCATCCCACATGTCCAAATGATCGCGCACATCGCCAACGCTACGAATCGTGGTGAGAAACCGTGAAATGGACCCCAATTCACTATCATTCGGATCGTCGATGAAGCTGGAGCAACCGATTGTAACGGGGTGAATTGTTACATAACAATTTGTAAGAAATTGTTGATAGAATATAACTATAAGAGGTGTATTCTCAGAATGTTGTCATAAGGACAAATATTCTGTAGCACTTACGAGTAGTTCCTAATTGGTTGATATAGGCCATTATATCAACCAACGAAGACGCGCCACGACAGACGCACGCAATGAGTGGCGAGCAGATGACTGATTTACACATTTGTATTTAGACATAGTTAGATGAAGATAAATAGTGATTTATTGCAGACATTAACTATTATAAATACAGTTCTACTTTTTACTCTAACCAAGTACTCGCTTCTTCTTACCGTCTTCCTCTGCACGTACGAGTGTACGTGAAGATACGAGGCACCGCCTTATTCTGTTATCAGAATAAGTAGCTTGTACTGTCACCAGTACAAGCTTCAGGGTGCCCCGTTACACCTGGTAGCACTTTGTAGTACGTCCAAGGACCGCGTTCACATCCAACATGAATATGTTAGATGATGAAGATGACCAAAGCTTTCACGCTACGCGTGACGGCTACTCCCATTTGAGCGATGTCGAATGGGATGCGGTTGAACGAATGGGTTCGACCATGGGCATCCATGCTGTTAGCGTCATGCTAGAGGCTCTCAATAGAGATGCCCAACATGCTACTATCGCCAAGCTCATTCAAAATGAACTTGACGCAGAACGCGAGAAAGTAGCCTTGCTTCACCAACAAGGTTCTCAACAAGCAGAGTTGTTGAGAGAACAAGGTGCTCAACAGTTTGAACTATTGAGACAGCAGCAGGCTGCTGCTGGTGGGTCGATGCATTCGCGTCGACCCGAAACCTTGAATATTGACATCTCCAAGTATAGGGGAGTCGAAGAAGACTCCCTCTTGAGATGGTTCGTCGACTTGGATGACGCCATAAGGGCGCGTCGCATCGACGACGGGGATACGCAAGTTGCATTCGCCCAATCAAATCTGGCAGGACGTGCCAAGACTTGGGCACTGGGGCTCAAGTTGCACGGCCCATATGCGTTTGGGTCGTTGGAAGTCTTCAAGTCGCGGCTCAGACAAACGTTTGAACCGCCTAGAGCTGAGTTCAGGGCTCGAACCGAACTCTTGAAGCTCAAGCAGTGTAAGCGTGATGTGCACGCTTACGCTCAACACATACGACATCTTACGAGTTGTATAAGTTCCAATCCAGTGGATGAACACACGTTGGTTTCGGTGTTCATGCAGGGTCCTGCGGATGGTCCCGTCAAGACTCACCTGTTCCGACTTGAACTAGATTCACTAGAACAAGCCATTTCCATTGCGGAGCAGGAAGACTTCAGTCTGAGACAGGCTCGCGCCAGCTCGACATCATATCGTCAACCGAGACGATATGACAACGGAGGTCCAGAGCCGATGGAACTCTGTTATGTAGAGAGCGAGAAGGTTCGCTCTACAGGATACAAGAAGTTGCAGAGATGCAACAGATGTCAAAAGACAGGACACTACGCTTACGAGTGTAGTGCCCCTCGTCCAGTGTCTCGCGACACTGGGCGTAGTGACCGTCCACCCATGAGAAAGGGGCAGGGACGAGGGTCCGCAGTTGGTGCAAAGACGCAACAACGAAATGGACCGTAAAAAAGGGACAGGATCAGTAGGTGCGGAGCACCCTACTGATCCAGCAACGTCAAGAGAATTTGTAGGCCTCTTGATGAAGGTTGCTCCCAACACACAGACGTTGTGCGTTGCTGCTCTAGGTAATGAGATCTCACTCATTACCTTGAAACTCGAAGTGACTTTTAAGTTGTCCCTTCGAGCTCTAGTCGATTGTGGGGCGTCCAACAATTTTGTGCGACGCCAATCGCTAGAAGATGGTCACTTTGAATTCAGTGAATGTGACACACCTCCTACGAGGATGACGGTACGTCTTGCGACAGGCGCATCCGTAACCGTCATGAAGCGTATAGTGAAGATTCGCTATACGCTAGAAGATACCCAATATGACGATGACTTTATCGTATTGGATTTGGATGACAAATTTGATGTCATCCTTGGAATACCGTGGCTCAGAAGGTACGAACCACGGGTAAACTGGCAACATTGAACAGTGACGATGCCTGCCGCTTGTTCATCAGATGGCCATCTGATGAACGTTTTGGAGCGTCCACAAGCGTGTGGATGTACTACGAGTGAGTGCGATGGCCTCACTTGTGGTACGGTCGTTAGTACGACTGCACAAAACCTTAGTGTACCAAACGGTTACACTTCGGAGCAAAGTTCCGGCGGCTGTGAGGAAACACAGGCTGCGCCGAAGGTCCACCACTCGAATAAGTCGGGTGGACTGGGACTAAGATGTATCCCTAGAGGGGAACATCTAGAAGAGAAACAATCGATCGCTCAGGTTAAGCGAAACGATAATCCTAGATCGACTGGAGAGTCTTTCGTAGAGGATCTCGCTGTGGTTGCGCAACCCCAGCTAGATGAAGTAAAGGGAATAAGTCCCAAGATTACAAATACGGCGGAAATAAGTTCCCCGAAACCCGCGGGAATAAGTCCCCGGGAAGACGAAGGAATAAGTCCTTCGAAGCCTGAGGGAATAAGTCCCCAGGAAATGACAGAGACATTGAATGTCATAGTCAATAACGGATCATGTGTAGGCGCTTATACACTTGATCTGATTGCGCCTCCGAAGTTAACTTCGGAGATCACTCAGTTGCCAACGCTCGAACATAAAAGGTTCTTGCGTGATCTGCGTAGTGGCAAAGTCAAGCAGATCTGCATACTCGTCGCTGACGACGAGTGTGTAACCGACATAAGGTCAGCAACAGTGTTTACTGAGAACGAGAGAGTTCTCAGTAGTTCATCTATGGACGAGAGTGTCCTGGATGAAAAGACACGAATTGAGCGATATGAGTCCCAATCATGGGAATCGCTCAAGGAAAATCCTCTCTATGAAGATTTGGTTGAATTCAAGGATGTATTCCCTGAAACTGTTCCGTGCGAGTTATCGAGGGATAAAGGTATTCGACACGAGGTCGAGCTTAAACCAGGCTCGAAGTACTGTGTCATGAAGCAGTGGCCACTGCCTCGTGAACAAGTACTTGCGATCGACAAGTTCTTTGCCGATCGTTTAGATGCGGGCCATGTGAGGGAATCAACTTCCCCACATAGCTCTCCGACCTTCTGTGTGCGAAAAGCAACAGGAGGGTGGCGGATAGTGCACGCGTTTAACAAATTGAACGCTGCAACGGTACCGGCTCAGACGCCGATACCGAGGAAGGACGTAATCATTGATGGTATGTCAAAGAGTACCATCTTTTCGTCCATGGATTTGATGGATGGCTTCTATCAAATCCTTGTGCGGGAACGGGATATGCCCTATACCGCAGTTAGCACGCCTAGCGGCATGCTCTGGGAATGGCTAGTAATGCCACAAGGGCTCAGTAATGCCCCTGCCACGTTCAACAGGTGTGTATCACATCTGTTGAGGCCAGTACGAGAATTCGCGCCGAGTTATTTCGATGACGTATTCATCCATAGTCGAGCTATGGATGGAAAGTCGGACGTTGAGGTTCACAGGTACCACGTCCGACAAGTTCTTACAATCATGCGAAAGCATCAATTGTATGCAAACCTCAAGAAGTGTATATTTGCAGCAAGCGAAATACCACTTCTTGGGTGCATCGTTGGTAAGAACGGTGTACGTCCTGATCCCGAAAAGATCAAGGCGATCATCGACTGGCCTGTGCCGGTCGATGTCAAAGGTCTTCGAAAATTCCTTGGGCTAGCGGCGTATTTGCATAAGTATTCACGCAATTACGCCGAGATGACTGTGCACCTCTCTCGTTTGTTGAAAAAGAACGAGAGGTGGATATGGAACGCTGAATGTCGGCGCTCCTTTGAGGGTATCAAGCAGAGCTTGATACAATCCCCAGTCCTAGCAATAGCCGATCAAGACAGGCCATTTCATGTGATCTGTGATGCCAGCGATTTTGCAATCGGCTGTGCATTAGTGCAGTACGATCTTGAAGGAGTTGAACGCGTCGTCTGCTATCGGTCGCGTCAGCTGCAACCAGCTGAGCGGAACTAATCAGTGCATGACAAGGAACTCTTTGCCATGAAGTATGCACTCGCGAAGTTCAGAGTCTATCTATTAGGAGATAGACCCTTCATTGTTTACACTGACCATGCGTCATTACGCACGGCAGTGAACAGCCCGCACCTTTCACAACGAATGGCGCGGTGGTTGTCATTCTTTGCAGAATACAACTTTACGGTCGAGTACAAACCAGGACGACTTAATGTCGTCGCTGATGCACTCTCACGTCGTCCCGACTTTGAAACAGTCGCGAAACCCAACAGTGAGACAGTCACTGTTGCGGTTATGACGTCCTCAGTCCCATTAACAACGTTGTATGATGATGTGAGGCGGGCATACGCCCAAGATGGTGAGATTGTGAAGTTGTTGTCACATCTCTCCCAACCATCCCGAGAATCGTTGAAACGATTGTCGTCTGCGTATCGATCAGCATCAGATCGATACACTACTCGCAACGGTTTACTGTATTATACAGCCGTTTCTGGTGACACACCACGTGTTGTCATTCCAGATGATACTGATCTGCGTTTGCGGATCATGTTCGAGTATCACGATGCTCCTATAGGAGGACATCGTGGCCGAGAGAAAACATATCTCACGGTAAGTCGAGACTTTTACTGGCCCCGCCAGTATCAGTTTGTGCGAAAGTATGTTCGCGCATGTGAAGTCTGCCAACGAGTGAAGTCAAGTCCTTCACTGCGTGCACCTTTACAGCCTCTACCGGTTCCGGCTGAGTGCTGGGAATCCATCTCAATGGATTTCGTCTTCGAGTTACCCAAAGACGCACGCGGGAATACGGGTATTCTCGAATCTGTTGACAGATTCAGCAAAATGGTACACCTAGTGGCTGTACCCAAGAAAATCACAGCAAGTGGCTGTGCTTGTGTCTTTATTGACACCATCTTCCGACTTCATGGGTTGCCCCGTGAACTCGTATCAGACAGAGATCCACGATTCACTGCTGATTTCTGGCGTTCCGTGTTCAAATCACTCGGAACGCGCTTGAAGATGTCAACATCTGATCATCCAGAGTCAGATGGTCAGACGGAACGTGCCAATTGTATCCTTGAAGAGATACTTCGAGGATACGTACACTCCTTTAAGAGTTGGAGTGAGTTTTTGCCAATGGTAGAGTTTGCCATCAACAACTCGGTGCATGCGTCCACGACACATACACCGTTTTACATGAATGGCTTGCGCCATCCGCGTGTACCCACCTTACTCGAGTGTAACTCTGGTTTAAGGGGGGGAGGGACTCGCGCGAGCAAAAACCGATTTGGTTCACGCTCATCACGCTCTGACGAAGAAGTCATTGCGTTTGATGCCGATATCGATAACATCGATATCGAAGAAGATGATGCCAGTGAGAGTGCGGAAGCCCTCACTGAAGACAATGATCCCAGTGAGAGTGCGGAAGCCCTCACTGAAGAAAAGGTTGATGTTGCTGCAGTGCGCTCACAGCACACTGAAGCTAACAAGTCATCAGATGAGTTCATACTGGCTCGTGAAACGGTAGTCCGTTTTGTGCAAGACTCCATCGCCGAAGCGGTGGATAAGCAAAAGCAAAACGCTGACAAGAATGGAAGGGCAAACAACCTTTTATTTAATAAAGGTGACTTAGTCCTACTTTCTACGGTTAATCTACCAAAGCATGTAGTGAATAACTTGGGTAGCAGTAATCTACTACCCAAGTACATCGGCCCATTTCGTGTATTGCACCGCCTAGGCAATGCATACACGATCGAGTTACCACGTAAGATGCGAACGCATCCCACGTTTTACGTTGGTCGGCTTAAGCCGTACCATCAGTACGCTGCTTCTTCCGATGAAGAACGCCCTTGCGCTCAAGCATCTCGCAGAGAGCCTTGTGCTCCCGATGGTGGGCATCAACAAGGGTCTGAAGAGCAGCTATCTCATCCCGAGACCGATCAGCCATCCCACGAGCTACCCTTAGCTCGTCACGAAGAGATGTCAGAGATCTCTCGTTCTCAAGCTGAGCAAAGGCAAACTCAGCTCGGTGCTTCGAGGCAGTGTCCACCATCTGGAGACGCCTATTCCGCTCATGCTCGAGATCGTCGCGTAACCCTTGCGTTACGCGATCAAAGAAGCTCTCGGAGACACACGGATCCCCACGATAGTTTGGAGAGCGTCTTTCCTCCTCCTCCACCTCCATTAGAGGACTCTCGCGGTGGCCAGCGCTATCTAGTTGAGCAGCTGTTGAACCACCGCGACGTGAACGGACGTCGGACGAGTTATCTCGTCCGGTGGCGCGGCTATCCCCCGTCCTGGGATACTTGGGAGCCCCGCTCCCAACTGATGATCGACGTACTGGGTCTGGTAGAGCAGTACGACGCGGCACATCATGTGCCGCAGAAGGACCGCCGGAGAAAGTCTTCCCGGCACGGTCGTAAAGGGATTTCAGGTTGTCAATCCCTTCGTACATCTCAGTAGAGACACGTACGCGCCACCACGGGCTGGTAAGGAGGTAAGCCTCCTTAGGTGCTCGTGCAGAGTTGTTCACACAACATGGGCACGAGTCTCCCCAAGAGAGGCAGGGTAATCCTTTCTCCCTTGACAGACGATGCAGCTTGTAGCGTGCACCTGTCGGGGTTCGCTTTTCAAACTTATCACGAGCTTTGATAAGTTTGTCGTTCCAAGCGTCACGACCTACATCCTCGAGGTTATGGATGTAGGCGTTCCACGCCTGAAGTAGTGAGGAACCATCACGTTTGTGATTCCCACTGTACCATCGATGTCTGAAGAAAGCATCGATGAAGAACTCATGTTCAGCGCGATAGTCTTTCGCGCTGGGGTCAAGGTGATGGATCCTTGACGAATCGAACAATCGTGTTCGATAACGATCACTCGTCGTCGCCGACAAGTGATCCATGACTGATTTTGGAGGCATCCATGCCTTCTTCTCGGGAGCGAGACGCAAGACATTGCGGTCCCGCTCTTCTTGCGACGTGCCGACAGAAGTACTGGCACCTCGCTGTGAAGTGGTGTCCATTGGAGAACCGACACCACTATTAGCGCCCGAGTCTCGCGACCTCGAGCGCCTTCGCTTCGGCGATGGTTCATCTGACTCATCCGATGGACCAAAGATGCTGCGACGCAAAGCATCGTCCATGCCACGCTTGGCAGGCGGCTTGGATTCGATCGCCGTTGATACGGATCCATCTTCCGTATCAGGAGAGTATGAGACACCGAGCTCATACTCTGTGAAGACATGAGTGTCTTCATGACGAGCGCCTGCATCACCAGGTGACACAGGCTGAGTCGCTTAACCAACGATGAGACTTTGGTTTTTTTTATTTGCTGCGGTTTCTGCTTCGGCGTCCGCACAGAGACCTGCGGACGCGCTCTCGGCGGCCTTGCTCGCGCATCGCATGGGCTTGTTAACCATGCGATGAATTGTTGGAAAGTGGACTCGGACCAACAAGTGCAAACCCTGTCCCAAATGATTTGGGACGAGTATCCATTTGGTCAATCAGTCACTAAAGTGACTGATGGTTAAGGGGGGGGTGATGTAACGGGGTGAATTGTTACATAACAATTTGTAAGAAATTGTTGATAGAATATAACTATAAGAGGTGTATTCTCAGAATGTTGTCATAAGGACAAATATTCTGCAGCACTTACGAGTAGTTCCTAATTGGTTGATATAGGCCATTATATCAACCAACGAAGACGCGCCACGACAGACGCACGCAATGAGTGGTGAGCAGATGACTGATTTACACATTTGTATTTAGACATAGTTAGATGAAGATAAATAGTGATTTATTGCAGACATTAACTATTATAAATACAGTTCTACTTTTTACTCTAACCAAGTACTCGCTTCTTCTTACCGTCTTCCTCTGCACGTACGAGTGTACGTGAAGATACGAGGCACCGCCTTATTCTGTTATCAGAATAAGTAGCTTGTACTGTCACCAGTACAAGCTTCAGGGTGCCCCGTTACACCGATGGCATTCTGAGGGTGTAATGTGTACGACATTGGCGCGTTATCGATAATGATCGTCTGTGAGAGGCTCCGGTTTAATACGGACAGATCCTTCACGTAGCCGCCTTTATACTGCACGCAATGCTCGCGATAGAGACGGTAACGGATAACACCTTCCGAATCAATCTCGTCCAGAAGCGGGTCTGCATACTTGCGTAAGCTAGCTGTATACACGACGATCTCGTAGCACTTTGACATTTCAATGAGAAACTCTTTCACCCCTGGTCGCTTGCACATGTGTACTAGGTAAAATACTCCATCAATTTCGACGGGAACAGCGACGTGCGGGTACTTTGTTGGTTTGAACGATGAGTGCACCAGCGTTTCGTCGAGGTCTAGTACAAGGCACTTCTTGCCGACGTCCTTGAGTAGTACAGGAGGCAAGACGCTTTTGCAGCGATCGTCAACCGTTCCAAGAGTCGCACCAGCTTCTTTCGTCAGTGACGAGTAATCCTGTCTTTTTTTGCCAAAGATTGGCTGCTTCTGTGCGTAAATTCCAAGTGCCACGCTAATGTGCGCGATGAGATCGCAGAAGATCCCTTGCCTTTGGCCTCGACTCGCGGGGAATGCCTCGAAGGCAATGCGACACCCACCTACCACAACGGGTTGCTGCTTGCTAATTTTGTCGACTTGGTGAGCGATATTGGATAGCGGGTCGATGGGGTTGAGGTCCACGAGCTGCTTCCGTGGTGACGGGCTCGTCATGTCAGTAGGTATGGATATTTTGCCTCGAGCATGTTTACCTGTATCGTTTTTCATCTGTGTCATTAGTTGCGTTGTGGACATTGGTGTGTAGTCGTGGGTGGTGATGATAGTAATAAGGTTTCAATTAGCATTGTAAGCTTCACTGAACGGCGTTTGATGGATGGGTAGTTTTTCGCAAGCGAGTTCACGACTGAAACGCAGTGTTGCGACACCGATGGCACCCAAGTTCGTGCTGGATGTTTCTCTTTGAGTTTGCAAACTTTGTGTGCTGGCTGAACACAAGCGGTTCTGGAGAGGAACGCGCTTGTCTTACGCGCAACCGTTGCTTTGTCATTTTGTGTTTCCGAATTCCGTGAAACGAATGAGTGAAGAATATCCGTTGTTACCCGTCGACTGTCGATCAGTGTTTAAAAAATATTGCTTCTTGTCGAATCGGTCGAAGCGAGATGCGTGTGTACCACATACAAAGCCAACATGACGTCAGCGCCACCAACGACGTCAGCATGGCGTGGTACCAGCGACCATAACGTCACGGAAACGGCTTTCGATGCCGCTAAATGTAAACTGTAAGCAAAATTAGACGCACCTTGGTATTATCAACTCTTGCGCGTCTAGAACAGATATGTAGTCATAATAGCAGTAGCTTGGCTCAGTAAGATACCGATGATTCGCAATGCTGCTGTCCATAGCTCAGCAATGACACTAGGCTACTTCCAAGACCCCTTTCTGCGCTTTTTCGTGGACAAACCTACACGTCGCATTCCTCTTGTACGTAATCTGCTGGACTCTCCTGTACTGATTTGACTGACTTTTGTGTCTGGTTGCGCAGATCCATCGCGGTTATTACTTGCGACACGTTGCTCTGGATCGATGCGTTGAGCTCTTCCTCTCGCAATGTATGTTCGCTTACGGGCCTGTCGTCTGTTCACTGCTGTTTTTTTCGGCTGTTTCACGGCATGGTATGCAGTTTTTCTAAATTGCTATGTTTTGGTTTTGTAGATTCGACGGCGTCTCAAGTGAACATCGTGTCGTTGGGAGCTGGGTTTGATACGCTGTTTTTTCGACTACTGCAAAAGCATCAATTTGCTGGCAACATTGCGTACACGGAAGTGGACTGTGACGCCATTGCTACTACAAAGTCCAAGCTGCTGAATGACCCTGCTGTATTCGCGGGGCTTTTTCCAAAAGACGCCACCAACTTGAGTGGCGTTGCTCCTCGTGCCGACGAGAAAGTGGCATGGCGATGCCAAATGCAGTCTGCCTCGTATTCAATTATTGCTTGCGATCTTGGTGACCTCGAGAAGATGGGCGCGATGCTGGACGCTGCTGGTGTTGAACGATGCGTGCCCACGCTAATCCTTGCTGAATGTGTCGTGGTACAAACTGCTAGCATTGATTCCTTGTTAAGCTCGTGTGCACCGTCTAATTTGTGTTTGTGTGCTTGCGCAGTCTTACTTGGCGCCAGAAAAGGGTACAGAGCTGCTTCATTGGCTTGGTAAAGCTTTTTTTACCTGCTCCATTGCTCTATACGATCCGATTGGACTTCATACAATCGACACCAGCGAGCGGGTTGCTTCCGCAGGTACAAAACTCGAACGAGAGTCCAGTGCCTTTAGCTCGACGCTTCAACTATACTTTGCAGCGAAAGGGTGCACTTTACGCGGTGCACGAGGATACCAGACAGCAGCTGACCACTGTCGGCGTCTGCTTGCTCGTGGTCACTGGAAGAATTGTCGTATTCTCGATATGAACGGGGTGTTTGCGGCGTGTACGACTGTTGAGGAGAAACGCAGGCTAGCGTTGCTGGAACCCTTCGACGAGTATGCCGATTGGATGCTGTGCAATGCGCATTACGCAATCTGTCTTGCAGACAACTGCAACAATCAGGATGAAAATAGTTATGGGTGGATCACCAAGCTTGTGCCCCATACGCAACAATACCGGTACCTCCTGATGGCGGGCGTTGTGCTAAAACAGCAGAACCAGGAGAAGTCTTCCGAAGTAGTGATTATACGATCATTTCAGCTCTGCGACTTGGCTGCTGTGCGGTCACTCTTCGAAAGCACACATCTCGATTTCGGAAAGGAATCACGTGCTGTGCGCCAGTTTGTTGCGAATCGTCTCAGTGGTCCCAGTGGCGACATGTTCGATGTACATCAAACTTTTTTAAAACCAAACGACTCCGGTGTTCTGACGAGCGGTTTTTGGGTTGCTGAAGTGAACGGGGAAATCGTTGGATGTGTTGGACTGAAGCCGCTCGCATTATCACCAAAGCAACAGGTGGACTTCGAACAAGGGAGCTGCAGTGCCGAATTATGTCGGCTAGGTGTTGCTCCTACATTCCGACGACGTGGTGTGGCTTCAGCTTTAGTGCGAGCTGTCGAGGCTTTCGCTGTATCGTGCGGTGCTTACAACAAGATCTGCCTCGAGACTATCGGAGCAATGGAAGATGCCCAAAAACTATACCGTGTACTCGGATACGTGGAACAAGCGGACAAGGAGAAGCAGCATAGCTCGTTTAAGCTCGTACGTTTCCAGAAGACGTTGTAAGAGGTTGTTGCTTTCGTATTAAGAGGGAGTGGCATTGCTGTTACTCATCTCGTACGTTAATCACCTGTATTCCGACTGCTCAATGCGGCGTAGATCCCGAGTCCACGACGTTTCATTCGACCTCGTATGTTTGCGATCTTTGCCACCGCTGAACCTGGAATGTGAAAGTTGCTGATGCGAGCTAATGACAAACATATTGTTACCTGTCAATGCCCTGTATTCCGCCATTTCCACCCTCTTTTTGCCATCAAGTGTTCAAGCTTTATCAGCGAAACGAATGACTGACTTGCTTTGAGTCTTTCTCTCGCTGATTCTGAACTACATCTGGAGAGCAATCACTTGCGAACATTGGTGCCAATGATTGGCGAACGACTCAAAGTCAAAAGCGGAGTTTGGCGAAACTTGCTGAGCCGCTGCGCTCACTCTTCTCATGTTAAATTTGGGTTTGCAGGCCTTATCGTTAGCGATGTCGTAGGAGCAAAAAATCGCATGCGTAGACAAATGCAGTTTCAATGCTTCCTTTATCTGTTAAACAAGCTTCACAAGCTGCACTGGTGCCACGACCACTCGTTACGGTCGCACGCATTTTGTTTTCCACGTCAATTGTATTTGGCGAAGCAAAATACAATTGACGTGGAAAACAAAATGCAAACCTCTTATGCTAGTGTAAGTCAACTGGATTTTTCGAATCCACCTTCGTTACCGCTATGTTGCGCATTAATAATTGACATGTCGTAAATTACGAATCGACACTACGTTCCTTACTGATCGCTACGTTGTGTATTAATAATCGACTTATGCACCTTTAGTGTATCACTTTCTTGGCCAATACGTTTCTTAAACAAACTTCTCGCTCGACCCGGCAGACTTAAATGCCTTGATATCCAACTTATTTCAGAGAAGACTTAGCTGCACAGCAATGTGCTTGGTCCGCTCGTAGCACTCCATGTTCTTAGCCAACGCTATCGATCCTTGATTTTCTGTGAATCTTGACCGCTTCGTTATTTAACATCTCGCCAAGCTTGCACAGGAATGCCCAAAGCATAATTGCTTCTTATACATATTCTGCAACGGGGTGAATCGTTACATAACAATTTATGAGAAATTGTTGATAGAATATAACTATAAGAGGTGTATTCTCAGAATATTGTCATTAGGACAAATATTCTGCAGCACTTACGAGTAGTTCCTAATTGGTTGATATAGGCCATTATATCAACCAACGAAGACGCGCCACGACAGACGCACGCAATGAGTGGTGAGCAGATAGTTGATATGCACATTTGTATTTAGACATAGTTAGATGAAGATAAATAGTGATTAATTGCAGACATTAACTATTATAAATACAGTTCTACTTTTTACTCTAACCAAGTACTCGCTTCTTCTTACCGTCTTCCTCTGCACGTACGAGTGTACGTGAAGTTCCGAGGCACCGTCTTATTCTGTTATCAGAATAAGTAGCTTGTACTGTCATCAGTACAAGCTCCAGGGCGCCCCGTTACACCTGGTAGCACTTCGTAGTCCGTCCAAGGACCACGTTCACATCTAACATGAATATGTTAGATGATGAAGATGACCAAAGCTTTCACGCTACGCGTGACGGCTACTCCCATTTGAGCGATGTCGAATGGGATGCGGTTGAACGGATGGGTTCAACCATGGGCATCCATGCTGTTAGCGTCATGCTAGAGGCTCTCAATAGAGATGCCCAACATGCTACCATCGCCAAGTTCATTCAAAATGAACTTAACGCTGAACGCGAGAAAGTAGCCTTGCTTCACTAACAAGGTTCTCAACAAGAAGAGTTGTTGAGAGAACAGGGTGCTCAACAGTTTGAACTGTTGAGACAGCAGCAGGCTGCTGCTGGTGGGTCGATGCATTCGCGTCGACCCGAAACCTTGAATATTGACATCTCCAAGTATAGGGGAGTCGAAGAAGACTCCCTCTTGAGATGGTTCGTCGACTTGGATGACGCCATAAGGGCGCGTCGCATCGACGACGGGGATACGCAAGTTGCATTCGCCCAATCAAATCTGGCAGGACGTGCCAAGACTTGGGCACTGGGGCTCAAGTTGCACGGCCCATATGCGTTTGGGTCGTTGGAAGTCTTCAAGTCGCGGCTCAGACAAACGTTTGAACCGCCTAGAGCTGAGCTCAGAGCTCGAACTGAACTCTTGAAGCTCAAGAAAGGTAAGCGTGATGTGCACGCTTACGCGCAACATATACGACATCTCACGAGTTGTATAAGTTCCAATCCAGTGGATGAACACACGTTGGTTTCGGTGTTCATGCAGGGTCTTGCGGAGGGTCCCGTCAAGACTCACCTGTTCCGGCTTGAACTAGATTCACTAGAACAAGCCATTTCCATTGCGGAGCAGGAAGACTTCAGTCTGAGACAGGCTCGCGCCAGCTCGACATCATATCGTCAACCGAGACGATATGACAGCGGAGGTCCAGAGCCTATGGAACTCTGTTGTGTAGAGAGCGAGAAGGCTCGCTCTACAGGCTACAAGAAGTTGCAGAGATGCAACAGATGTCAAAAGACAGGACACTACGCTTACGAGTGTAGTGCCCCTCGTCCAGAGTCTCGCGACACTGGGCGTAGTGACCGTCCACCCATGAGAAAGGGGCAGGGACGAGGGTCCGCTGTTGGTGCAAAGACGCAACAACGGGATGGACCGTCAAAAAACGGTCAGGATCAGTAGGTGCGGAGCACCCTACTGGTCCAGCAACGTCAAGAGAATTTGTAGGCCTCTTGATGAAGGTTGCTACCAACACACAAACGTTGTGCGTTGCTGAGATCTCACTCATTACCTTGAAACTCGAAGTGACTTTTAAGTTGTCCCTTCGAGCTCTAGTCGATTGTGGGGCGTCCAACAATTTTGTGCGACGCCAATCGCTAGAAGATGGTCACTTTAAGTTCAGTGAATGTGACACACCTTCTACGAGGATGACGGTACGTCTTGCGACAGGCGCATCCGTAACCGTCATGAAGCGTATAGTGAAGATCCACTATACGCTAGAAGATACCCAATATGACGATGACGTTATCGTATTGGATTTGGATGACAAATTTGATGTCATCATTGGAATACCGTGGCTCAAAAGGTACGAACCACGGGTAAACTGGCAACATTGAACAGTGACGATGCCTGCTGCTTGTTCATCAGATGGCCATCTGACGAACGTTTTGGAGCGTCCACAAGCGTGTGGATGTACTAAGAGTTAGTGCGATGGCCTCACTTGTGGTACGGTCGTTAGTACGACTGCACAAAACCTTAGTGTAACAAACGGTTACACTTCGGAGCAAAGTTCCGGTGGCTGTGAGGAAACACAGGCTGCGCCGAAGGTCCACCACTCGAATAAGTCGAGTGGACCGGGACAAAGATGTATCCCTAGCGGGGAGCATCTAGAAGAGACACAATCGATCGCTCAGGTCAAGCGAAACGATAATCCTAGATCGACTGGAGAGTCTTTCGTAGAGAATCTCGCTGTGGTTGCGCAACCACAGCTAGATGAAGTAAAGGGAATAAGTCCCAAGATTACAAATACGGCGGAAATAAGTTCCCCGAAACCCGCGGGAATAAGTACCCGGGATTTCGAAGTAATCAGCCCTTTAAGGCCTGAGGGAATAAGTCCCCAGGAAATGACAGAGACACTGAATGTCATAGTCAATCACGGATCAAGCGTAGGCGCTTATACACTTGATCTGATTGCGCCTCCGAAGTTGACTTCGGAGATCACTCAGTTGCCAACGCTCGAACATAAAAGGTTCTTGCGTGATCTGCGTAGTGGAAACGTCAAGCAGATCTGCGTACTCATCGCTGACGACGAGTGTGTAGCCGACATAAGGTCAGCAACAGTGTTTACTGAGAACGAGAGAGTTCTCAGTAGTTCATCTATGGACGAGAGTGTCTTAGATGAAAAGACACGAGTTGAGTGATATGACTCCCAATCGTGGGAATCTCTCAAGACGAATCCTCTCTATGAAGATTTGGTTGAATTCAAGGATGTATTCCCTGAAACTGTTCCGTGCGAATTACCGAGGGATAAAGGTATTCGACACGAGGTCGAGCTTAAACCAGGCTTGAAGTACTGTGTCATGAAGCAGTGGCCACTGCCTCGTGAACAAGTACTTGCGATCGACAAGTTCTTTGCCGATCGTTTAGCTGCGGACCATGTGAGGGAATCAACTTCCCCACATAGCTCTCCGACCTTCTGTGTGCGAAAACAACAGGAGGGTGGCGGATAGTGCATGCATTTAACAAGTTGAATGCTGCAACGGTACCGGCTCAGACGCCGATACCGATGAAGGACGTAATCATTGATGGTATGTCAAAGAGTACCATCTTTTCGTCCATGGATTTGATGGATGGCTTCTATCAAATCCTTATGCGAGAACGGGATATACCCTATACCGCAGTTAGCACGCCTCTAGGCGTGCTCTGGGAATGGCTAGTAATTTCACAAGGGCTTAGTAATGCTCCTACCACGTTCAACAGATGTGTATTACATCTGTTGAGACCAGTACGAGAATTCGCGCCGAGTTAATTCGATGACGTATTCATCCATAGTCGGGCTATGGATGGAAAGTCGGACGTTGAGGTTCACAGGTACCACGTCCGATGGGTTCTTACAATCATGCGAAAGCATCAATTGCATGCAAACCTCAAGAAGTGTATATTTGCAGCAAGCGAAATACCACTTCTTGGGTGCATCGTTGATAAGAACGGTGCACGTCCTGATCCCGAAAAGATCAAGGCGATCACCGACTGGCCTGTGCCGGTTGATGTCAAAGGTCTTCGAAAATTCCTAGGGCTAGCGGCGTATTTGCATAAGTATTCACGCAATTACGCCGAGATGACTGTACACCTCTCTCGTTTGTTGAAAAAGAACGAGAGGTGGTTATGGAACGCTGAGTGTCAGTGCTCCTTTTATGGTATCAAGCAGAGCTTGATACAATCCCCAGTCCAAGCAATAGCCGATCAGGACCGACCATTTCATGTGGTCTGTGATGCCAGCGATTTCGCAATCGGCTGTGCACTAATGCAGTACGATCTTGAAGGCGTTGAACGCGTCGTCTGCTATCAGTCGCGTCAGCTGCAACCAGCTGAGCGGAACTATTCAGTGCATGACAAGGAACTACTTGCCATGAAGTATGCACTCGCGAAGTTCAGAGTCTATCTATTAGGAGATAGACCCTTCATTGTTTACACTGACCAGGGGTCATTACGCACGGCAGTGAACAGCCCGCACCTTTCACAACGAATGGCGCGGTGGTTGTCATTCTTTGAAGAATACAACTTTACGGTCGAGTACAAACCAGGACGACTTAATGTCGTCGCTGATGCACTCTCACGTCGTCCCGACTTTAGACCAGTCGTGAAACCCAAAAGTGAGACAGTCACTGTTGCGGTTATGACGTTCTCAGTCCCATCTACAACGTTGTATGATGATGTGAGGCGGGCATACGCCCAAGATGGTGAGATAGTGAAGTTGTTGACACATCTCTCCTAACCATCTCGAGAATCGTTGAAACGGTTGTCGTCTGCGTATCGATCTGCATCAGATCGATACACTACTCGCAACGGTTTACTGTATTATAAAGCCGTTTCTGGTGACACACCACGTGTTGTCATTCCAGATGATAATGATCTGCGTTTGCGGATCATGTTGGAGCATCACGATGCTCCTATAGGAGGACATCGTGGCCGGGAGAAAACAAATCTCACGGTGAGTCGAGACTTTTACTGGCCCTGCCAGCATCAGTTTGTGCGAAAGTATGTTCGCGCATGCGAAGTCTGCCAACGAGTGAAGTCAAGTCCTTCACTGCGTGCACCTTTACAGCCTCTACCGGTTCCGGCTGAGTGCTGGGAATCCATCTCAATGGATTTCGTCTTCGGGTTACCCAAAGACGCACGCGGGAATACGGGTATTCTCGTATTTGTTGACAGATTCAGCAAAATGGTACACCTTGTGGCTGTACCAGAGTCAATCACAGAAAGTGGCTGTGCTTGTGTCTTTATTGACACCATCTTCCGACTTCATGGGTTGCCCCGTGAACTCGTATCAGACAGAGATCCACGATTCACTGCTGATTTCTGGCGTTCCGTGTTCAAATCACTCGGAACGCGCTTGAAGATGTCAACATCTGATCATCCAGAGTCAGATGGTCAGACGGAACGTGCCAATTGTGTCCTTGAAGAGATACTTCGAGGATACGTACACTCCTTTAAGAGTTGGAGTGACTTCTTGCCAATGGTAGAGTTTGCCATTAACAACTCGGTGCATGCGTCCACGACCCATACACCGTTGTACGTGAATGGCTTACGCCATCCGCGTGTACCCACCTTACTAGAGTGTAACTCTGGTTTAAGGGGGGGAGGGACTCGCGCGAGCAAAAACCGATTTGGTTCACGCTCATCACGCTCTGACGAAGAGGTCATTGCGTTTGATGCCGATAATCGATAGTATCGATATCGAAGAAGATGATGCCAGTGAGAGTGCGGAAGCCCTCACTGAAGAAAAGGTTGATGTTGCTGCAGTGCATTCACAGCGCACTGAAGCTAACGAGTCATCAGATGAGTTCATACTGGCTCGTGAAACGGTAGTCCGTTTTGTGCAAGACTCCATCGCCGAAGCGGTGGATAGGCAAAAGCAAAACTCTGACAAGAATGGAAGGGCAAACACTCTTTTATTTAATAAAGGTGACTTAGTCCTACTTTCTACGGTTAATCTACCAAAGCATGTAGTGAATAACTTGGGTAGCAGTAATCTACTACCCAAGTACATCGGCCCATTTCGTGTATTGCACCGCCTAGGCAATGCATACACGATCGAGTTACCACGTAAGATGCGAACGCATCCCACGTTTTACGTTGGTCGGCTTAAGCCGTACCATCAGTACGCTGCTTCTTCCGATGAAGAACGCCCTTGCGCTCAAGCATCTCGCAGAGAGCCTTGTGCTCCCGATGGTGGGCATCGACAAGAGTCTGAAGAGCAATTATCTCAGCCCGAGACCGATCAACAATCCCACAAACTACCCTTAGCTCGTCACGTAGAGACGTCAAAGCTCCCTCGTTCTCAAGCCGAGCAAAGGCAAACTCAGCTCGATGCCTCGAGACAGTGTCCGCCATTTGGAGACGCCTGTCCCGCTCATGTTCGAGATCGTTGCGTAACCCTTGCGTTACGCGATCAAAGAAGCTCTCGGAGACACACGGATCCCCACGATAGTTTGGAGAGCGTCTTTCCTCCTCCTCCACCTCCATTAGAGGACTCTCGCGGTGGCCAGCGCTATCTAGTTGAGCAGATGTTGAACCACCGCGACGTGAACGGACGTCGGACGAGTTATCTCGTCCGGTGGCGCGGCTATCCCCCGTCCTGGGATTCTTGGGAGCCCCGCTCCCAATTGATGGTTGACGTACTGGGTCTGGTCGAGCAGTACGACGCGGCATATCCTGTGCCGCAGAAGGACCGCCGGAGAAAGTCTTCCCGGCACGGTCGTAAAGGGATTTCAGGTTGTCAATCCCTTCGTACATCTCAGTAGAGACACGTACGCGCCACCACGGGCTGGTAAGGAGGTAAGCCTCCTTAGGTGCTCGTGCAGAGTTGTTCACACAACATGGGCACGAGTCTCCCCAAGAGAGGCAGGGTAATCCTTTCTCCCTTGACAGACGATGCAGCTTGTAGCGTGCACCTGTCGGGGTTCGCTTTTCAAACTTATCACGAGCTTTGATAAGTTTGTCGTTCCAAGCGTCACGACCTACATCCTCGAGGTTATGGATGTAGGCGTTCCACGCCTGAAGTAGTGAGGGACCATCACGTTTGTGATTCCCACTGTACCATCGATGTCTAAAGAAAGCATCGATGGAGAATTCATGTTCAGCGCGATAGTCTTTCGCGCTGGGGTCAAGGTGATGGATCCTTGACGAATCGAACAATCGTGTTCGATAACGATCACTCGTCGTCGCCGACAAGTGATCCATGACGGATTTAGGAGGCATCCATGCCTTCTTCTCGGGAGCGAGACGCAAGACATTGCGGTCCCGCTCTTCTTGCGACGTGCCGACAGAAGTACTGGCACCTCGCTGCGAAGTGGTGTCCATAGGAGAACTGACACCACTGTGAGCGCCCGGGCCTTGCGACTTCGAGCGCCTTCGCTTCGGCGATGATTCATCTGATTCATCAGATTAACCAAAGATGCTACGACGCATAGCATCATCCATGCCACGCTTGGCAGGCGGCTTGGATTCATTCGCCGTCGATACGGATCCGTCTTCCGTATCGGGAGAGTATGAGACACCGAGCTCGTACTCTGTGAAGACACGAGTGTCTTCATGACCAGCGCCTGCATCACCAAGTGACACAGGCTGGGTCGCTTCAGCAACCGATGAGACATCAGTTGCTGTGGTTTCTGCTTCGGCGTCCGCACAGAGACGTGCGGACGCGCTCTCGGCGGCCTTGCTCGCGCACCGCATGGGCTTGTTTACCATGCGATGAGATGTTGGAAAGTGGACTCGGACCAACAAGTGCAAACCCTGCCCCAAATGATTTGGGACGAGTATCCATTCAGTCAATCAGTCACTAAAGCGACTGATGGTTAAGGGGGGGGTGATGTAACGGGGTGAATCGTTACATAACAATTCATAAGAAATTGCTTTTTAAATTGTTAATAGAATATAATTATAAGAGTCATATTCTCAGAATATTGTCATTAGGACAAATATTCTGCAGCACTTACGAGTAGTTCCTAATTGGTCGATATAGGCCATTATATCAACCAACGAAGACGCGCCACGACAGACGCACGCAATGAGTGGTGAGCAGATAGTTGATATGCACATTTGTATTCAGACATAGTTAGATGAAGATAAATAGTGATTTATTGCAGACATTAACTATTATAAATACAGTTCTACTTTTTACTTTAACCAAGTATTCGCTTCTTCTTACCGTCTTCCTCTGCACGTACGAGTGTACGTGAAGTTCCGAGGCATCGCCTTATTCTGTTATCAGAATAAGTAGCTTGTACTGTCACCAGTACAAGCTTCAGGGTGCCCCGTTACAGATGGCTTACTGATCCATATTGCGTATGCTGTTGGAAGCAAGTACGCGACTTTGCACCGTAAGTAATACTGCTACTATCATATTGGGGTGGTGCTAAATTCAACACTAAGGTGCATCGACTTGCAAAAATAGTCGCCTTTGGGTCGGATGCATCATTTGACTCGCCAGAGTAGATGATATCTATCTCAGACTCATCTGCATGACGATTCGCCCCACCCGCTGCAGATGCAGCGGATGTACCTGTCTCACGTGGCGACTCACCACGTGGACTGTATATAACGAAAGGCGACGAATCACCTACCGCGGAGGCGTGAAAAGTACTGTCTCCGGCTGCAAGCATGCGTGCAGCCGCTTTCTTGCTGCTACAGTAGCGACTCGCATGGGATTCAAATCCATGCGTTGAATTGGCAAACGAGTAGAATTTGACCAACAAGTGCTCCCTTTCCCAGAGTGATCCAACGGTGGTCACCGTGTCCTAATCAATTATATTCAATCAACTGGTGATTGATGGTTAAGGGGGGGTGATGTATCGGGGTGACCCTTTACATGAAATTGACACCAAACGGTGTCAATAGGAATATTGTCAAGCATGACAATATGCTACCAATATTATCCTAGATGGAAAGTATCGAAGGAATTGAAGCTAAGGCAGTCGAGCACTAGATGGTAAAATGCAAAGTAATTATCTTTAGGTCTTTAGTTCACAAACTCTGTTGATACTCTAAGCCTACAGGATTCTTCGATCACACGTTCCTAATCGCTATATCGTGCATTAAAACTCGTATAGTCGCACTTTAGTAATCGTCTAGTCGCGCATTACTAATCGTCAAGTCGTACGTTTCTAATTCTGGTCGTGCGTTTTTTGAACACCCAAACGTACCGAAAATGGGGGACGTCACTATCTGGCAGCACAGTGCTGTTGAACACCAAATACCAGATCCCAAAGGTTTAACTTGTTGTTCGCACGCCCCCACCGGTATCGAACCAGTGACCTTTGGGGTAATACTGCCATACCAAACCGGCTGAGCTTTAGAACACATTTCTGTCACATCATGCCGAGACGTCTCTTTTACAACAGGAATACTATCCCTTTTGTAGATCATATTCATTCGCTGCTCCAAGATTAGTTGGTAAAGACATATCGGACCATTGATTACCACCAATCGCTGCTAGACGCGCGCAATGGGTGGTGAGCAGGTTGTCGTCATACGACGGCGTAGTTTAATATAGTTAGATAAAGATTAAAGTTATATTGTTACCTCAATTATATTCAATAAAATTTTCTTTCTAACCTTTACCTAAACGAGTCGTTTGAGTAGATAGGCTTCCTCTGCACGTACTAGTGTACGTGAAGTTTCGTGGCACCCAAACAAGGGTGCCCCGTTACAGGTACTGGGTACCGCCGTTACTTGTATTGATACCAAGCAAGATACTAAAGATTGCAACGCCATGCCTGTCGCTCCTTAGGTTGGCATTGTTACCTTTTTAAAGGTGGAAAATATAGTTACCGAATCAATCAATTTAATTTGTCAAGGCCTCTCGACTTTAGTGCCAACAAATTTTGCACCAGACATGCGTTTTTATCTTTGTGATCTACAAACAATAAATGCTGCATTTAGGATCAGAAATATGTTGATCCCTAGCTAGCCAGGTATGTAACGAAATTATCCACGATATGAAGCAGGCATCGGAAGTGTTGCCTGACATAGCAAATAAATCTGTGTCCTGAACTCAATTCGAGTAACGATACCCTACTGGTGCATGAAACGAACATCATCGGTTGACAAACGATGCCGGTTTACCGTATCTCTCGCATACGGAATAAACGACTCGTCCTGTGCCCCAATAAAGGCTATTTATAGAAGGGCTCCTGGCAAAAAAATACAATATTTTTACTAGATGCATGAAGAATTGGGTGATTTTCAGTCCGTTAGAAAGCACACAGTGCGATCATTTTTCGATGATCCTTCTTTAGAATCGGATGTACCTTATAGCATAACCTAACAAGCCCTAGAGATATCACTACCTATTGCAAGATACTATCGCCGCTATCTGCCAAAGGAGAGTAGCCGTGTCACCGGACGACGTCCTTTCACATCTGGTTTAGCAAAGATCCTACGACGTCGGCCACCGCGCGCATTAACTAATGAATGAGGCGAAGAAGTGTAACGACCTCATGTTAGTCCATTAAATCGATCTGATGTATAGGTTTAAATCGACCGCTTAACTTGCAAGTTTTGAAAGGATTTCAAGCTTGAGAAACACATGGGTTTAAGTTTGAGGTAAAATTATAAATCTCCATTTTTATATCAAAAGATATATTGATCGAATACGGTCTTTGCACAGACAGCGAAAGAAGATAGAATAAAAATTTCTTGACAAGACTAGATATAGACAGCTAGTCAGAATTTTAATCGATATAGCAGGGAATTATGAGCTTCAGACGCAGGTTATAACATCATCGCGATCACAGTAGTCTTTTGTATATGCTTGGTATCAAGCTTTACTCACCAGACTGATCAGCTTACTGATAGTACGGCCTGACGACCCGACCTAAACTTACGATACGTTCTTTTTTAATATTTACTTTAATTGTTTACGTGTTTTTTAGACAGAGAAGTATGTGAAATAGATCAATAACTTTGGGTCGTAAATTTATACTACACGCGTTTGTATCTATACGTAGAGATGAATTTACCGGAAATAGTATAATAATGTCTACCTCACAAAATATTAAAACACTTGCCGTATAATTTACGTCACCGATTCGTTTTGTTTATCCACCGCATTCGCGACCGAGTCTTACACGAAGCGGACGACCGTCTGTCAGTCCGCATTCACCTTCTGGTGCTTTGTCTAAGCAGCAGCGTGCTGTAATTGAACTGCTACATGATCAAATATCGATATACAGCAAGTAAATTTACAACCGTCCGGGTGTAAGGATTTTTGGTAGTAAAAACATTCTACTATCACTTTCCTTTCACACTGAAGTCGATGCGATCTACATCAGCATGCTTAGTAGTGACCTCACGGTCAATGCGAGATGAGTGAAGGCGGAGTTGTTTTTGCCCTTTTAGTTCCCCACAATAAGTAGCACTCATTAACAAAGCGGGTAAGTATGAATGTCACCATCCATTTTTATCAAAAACGGAAAAACGTTTATGATGCATGCACCGAGTTATTATTGGCGTATCCTACATTGACAAGAATTCGCTCTTATTAGTGCAAGAGTGGACGTGCCCTCTAAGGATCTTCGAAACACATTATGCGCGTTACGTACGAAAATCTGATTCCTGATGATCAGATGTAGATACCCTTGGGCGCTTCAAACGTTATAACTTGGAGCTAATGGATCTAATTCGTAAATTGCGAGTATAAGCTGGACGGTTTCACGGGGTACTTTAACAAGTACCAAGATCGTGTTAATAACGACACAAGTACAACCCGATGCTGATATTAATTTTAGCACAGCAAAAAGTTGTTCCATCTTCGTGAATTTATCGAAGAACACGAAATACCAGTGCCCTTGTGTGTTAGTCTGCAGAAAATCGAAGATAGAGCACGATAGAACAGATTGTGAGCAGTACGCTAAAATCGGGAGACGCTGTCACGAAGCACGAAGTGATTGATTTTGTCCATCGGAGTACGTTTAGCAGATGTTACTATTTGGAGACTTTGTATCAATTCCACAATTTCATTTGCAAAGCGAACGCAACGTGTACAAAAAAGCACGAACGTACTTGCGCACGGAATGATACTGATTTGGCCAGTACATAGACCAACCTTACCAATGTTTCTATAACATCACGACTCGATACCCATCCAGAGGGGCGTCACTGGACTAAGTAAAAAGATTGCAAGCTTAAATACTCAACGTCGGTTTCGACGACACGAGGCGGGTCGCCAGAAACGACTGATTTTATAAGTAACCCATTCTCATATCGGGTGTATGTCCGTGGAGGACCGATGTACTGCTAAAAACAATTTGAACGTGTTTCGGGAAGAATTATCGTGATATTTCATCAAAGTTACAATTTTTGGCTCACATACATACGCCTTTTGCATGTCTTCTAACACAAAAGAAGACATGATACCTTAAGTCAAACCGCACCAATGGGTTTCTCAACTGTTAATTTGCACGGCCGGTTCGAGCGCGGGCCAGAGCAAGATTGCACCATTGAAGACGCTCATTCTACTTACTGTACTTTATGGGCAAATTATACTTTGCAAAGAGAGACATCACCCACTCAACTCTTTGTAAAATACGTGGAATGTTGATGACCTTACGTGATGAAGCATCTTTTCGCAACGAAAAAAATGTTTTCTGCTTTATAAATATGTGCCCGGACCAATCCAGTGCGTACTTTATCTCAAAGTGCTTAATTATCATGAAGGGGTTAATTAAATTTAG